TATTGTTTTTTAGAGGACAGATAGGGCTACATATTTATATCACATATGTGTGTCTAACGCCTGTGTCTAACGCCTGTCTAACGCCTCACTTAGGACAAATAAAATATAAAAAAAGAGGAAAAAACGTTAAAAAAAACAAGTTTTTCCCAGTTTTGATTTGTAGTATTTTTTACAAAACCAGCACAGCTAAAAAAAAGAATGCAATAAATACATTCATTTATTTGTCCTTTATTTATTTTTTCTTTACACTTTTCACTATTTTTATTTTTTTACACTTTTCACTATTTTTTTTTAAACTTTTAAAATGTTTATTTTATTTATTTAATTATATCAAGCAGTCATTGTGCATTAATCTCACTATTACTGCTTGATAAATTAATACATTTTTGGTTATTATTAGGCTGCTTCAAACTTCAGTACAGCCAATAATAACACTGATCCTGCAGCAGTTCAGGATTCAGCTATCACTAAAGGTTTTCTTGAACGTTCCAACAAAGGTTTTCTTGAACGTTCCGCTTCAGCTGCGGCGCCTCAGTATACCGCGAGCAGCAGCTCGCGGTATTCTGCGGTGTCTCAACAATAATAACACTGATCCTGCAGCAGTTCAGGATTCAGCTATCACTAAAGGTTTTCTTGAACGTTCCAACAAAGGTTTTCTTGAACGTTCCGCTTCAGCTGCGGCGCCTCAGTATACCGCGAGCAGCAGCTCGCGGTATTCTGCGGTGTCTCAGTATACCGCGAGCTACAGCTCGCGGTATACGGAGCCTAGGGTGACGGGAGGACGCTAGTTTGTGTCCTCCCGTTACCCTAAGGAGAACTATGGGGAAAAGCCTTAACCCCATAGTTCTCCTTTAAAGTCTGGTCAGTGGAACGTGAATTCTCACTGGTTGCCTCAGTTCATCTCCCAAGCTTTGTACGTTGTCCTAATAAATCAGCTTATACGGGCCCTGAACCAACAGCAAAGAAAATGCATTCCATCAGTTCATTAGGATATGGACTGGCATTACTGAGGTATCAGGTTCATTGTGCCTTAGTGATATCCATTGCTCCTTGGGAGTTGAGGGACTAAACACGAGATCAGGGTCAATATCAATGTCTGCTGATGTGTTCCCCAATGTCAGAGCTCATGTCAGTGTTATAACCATGAATGTGTCCTGTTGAAGTACATGGTTACCACATATGAATCCTGACCTTACAAGTCTCTGGTCCCTTTCAGCTCTCACTCGGCCTCAGATTTAATGTCCAGAGGTTAGAAAATGCAGGCAGCATCAGCTTTGATCTACACGTGAAAAGGTAAGCCTTGTAGTACATGCAATGCACACAAAATGGCTTTTATAATTTGCTGTTCACTTTAGCAGGCGGGGCAGTGGCACAGAGTCTCTGATTTCCAGCTCTAAATTGTTGTCTCTCTCTTTTTGCTATGCAGTCATAGAAGTGTGCACATTACTTTACACGTGGATCAGTTTCTGTGAATGTGTTTCAATAGAATAGGATTTTAACAAAGTCCACTCAGTTTTCCCATAAGGCAAATGAAGTGGACTTTCGGAGGAGTTCATGAAATGGATTTACTTGTTGCCTGGTTAAGGTTTTCGTTATCATTTCTTGATACATATATTGGTCAGGGCACATACAGGACCTCTTAGCAGGACCACGTCAACTGGCTTGTGGACAATATATACGGTAGGTGTCACCTAGATTGTCTCTTCAGGGAAATGACCAAAACGTTTTTGTTTTCCAAGACCCTAATCAGTTCTCTTCTGGGTCCTGGGAGTTTTGTAGAGCTATTGGTGGGATAAAGCCTTCATTCCTAGGTCCACATCTTACTTAGTATCCAGACCTCAGTATTAGTCTCAGCTATGCACAGGCCTTTATATATGTGAGCTGACTAATGCTCAGGGCTCTCTCTATCTCTACTGAGGGAGCCTGCTGCTGGGTAAAAAGGCTGAGTGCTGACAGAACACTAAAAAGCCAAACAAAGCTGCCTGTTTGTTTTGAGGAATCCATTGGCTCACCCCGTTAGTCATGAACTGACATAAGTTTAGTTAGTGGCTCCGATGAGCAGATATTTGTGTGCTTTATGCTATGAACTTGCTGTGCAAAGGCCTCCTGCATTGAAACTGTGTCTGCTGCCTTGCATGACTGTTCCTGGGTCATGCATGGTTGGTTTCTCACTGTCACTACCAGTTGAGTCGCTTTTCCATACAATTGGGGATGTACGGATACCAGTGTTATCGGTATTGAGTACTAGTACCACATTTTTTTTCCCGGTACTCGCCGATACCGAATACCGATACCGGAAATCCCATTACGGAAGTCATTACACGCCAACCGCCATCTCCATGCTCCCTAGTCACCAGGTGGCAAGGAAGCATGGAACTGGCTTTCTGGCCAAACAGGAAGCCGAGGGTGGGTAATGACGCACTGCCTGGCTTCCTGATTGGCTAGCTTCTCAAACAATCAGGAATCTGGGCAGCAAGCCATTATACGCTGCCCGGCTCCATGCTACGTCGTTACCAGGTGACGAGGAGACATGGAGTCGGCTTTCTGGCTAATCAGGAAGCTGGGGGTGGGGGGTGGGTATTGACTCGCCACCTGCCTTCCTGATTACCCAGCTTCCTGAATAGTCAGAAAACTGGGCGGCGAGTCACTACATGCCCCCCAGCTTCCCGACTAGCCGGGAAGCCTGCTCCATGCTCCCTGGTGATGAAGGAGCATGGAGCCGGCTTCCCGGGCCAATCAATAAGCTAGGCAGTGTCTAATGCCGGGCTTCCTGATGCCGGACGTTCCAGTATTGGGATATGCATCGGGAGCATTTGGGCGAGTAAGAGTACTCGCCCAAATACTCGGTATCAGCACTGATACCGATACTAGTATCGGTATTGGTGCATCCCTACTTACAATATATATCTTTAATTAAAAAAAGAATTAACATAAAATTGACCCGAACCATTATAGTTTCCCTTTAACATGCCGGACTCCCTACAACACTGCATTTCCCCAATAGCAGCCCAGTAGTGAACCTTTTTATCGGCAAAAAAAAAAGATAAAACTATTAAGAAATGTAAAATATCAAGATATCAGAGAAGGAAATCTTAAGGAAGGGAAGGAAGTGATGACACAGAAGGGTTATTATCACAACATGATGACCCTGGAGTAATATGTCATAATCTCAGACATGTTTTTTCAATGAAAAAAGATCATCCATCTCCCAAGAAAATCTTGCACATTATTAAATGAGGCTGACAAAGCGTGGATGTACCTTGTGCTCTGCAGAGGGGGACAGGAAGTTGTGATGGTGGCGGGGAGGCCAAAAGAGCAGATACACTGTGTGACCAGAGTGATTTTTGTTCTCGTATGTTGTTTTGTGTCAAAACTGGAAGATTTATGAGGGTGATCTCCACTCCCACCAGTGTTATTACTGGAGGGGAGATCAAGGCTCAGGTCAGCTCCTTCTAACTTCCATCTGCCTTGAAGGGAAACTGTAGAGTCTTATAAGTGTGGTAATCATTTTTATAGCCAGTACAAAAGTGTCTTTCCTTATGACTTTCATATTTTTACTTAGTTGCCATTCATATCATTTCATGATGGTTATTTCCTAGACAGATTTTAGTTTTTAGTGGCCAAACTCCAGAAGGTGCTAGTATAATGAACTAAACTTGTATATTCAACATGTATGTAAAGGAAATTCTTGGGAAGTTTTGACTAGAGTAGGAAAAGGTTAGATCAGACCAGGGCATTCTATGGTCCGTTGGCCGTATCTGGTCCTTGATCTATGCAGACATCCCAACCTGCAAAACCTTATTTCAGGGAGGTGCCCTTCTCATTTCAGGGAGGTACCGTCTCTGTTTTTTTTATTTTGACAGCGGCCGTCGGCCACCTTCACAATAAAAAGGTCTGCAGTACGTACACAGACCTGTGCTCAGTTATGGTTGGCTGACAATGGATGCACTGGCCTCCAAGCCTGGTGCATCCACTGCAAGCCATAGGTCAGCGATGGGTCCGTATCCAGATCTCTTTCCTCTTTAGTCCTTGGTTGCTATGACCACTGCAGTCCTAGCAACCAATGACAATGTCTTCTCACCCCCAGCTTTACCCTGACCTACCGTGCATTACAGTGCTGCAAGTGCATTGCATTGCCATTCATTTGAATGAAATTGAAGTTGGGTGCATGGAGTTTGCATGTTTTCCCTGTGCTTGTGTGGGTTTCCTCCGGGTACTCCGGTTTCTTCCCACACTCCAAAGACATGCTGGAAGGTTAATTGGCTCCTGTCTAAATTGGTCCTGTATGTGTGTACAATAGGGACCCTTAGACTGTAAGCTCCTTTAGGGCAGGGACTGAATGTACAATGTGTAAAGTGTTGGCTCCTATATACTGCAAACACCCACAATAAAAATTCACTCTCTGTTTGTTCTGGTGACCACTTTCTCTGGGACAGAAAGTGAGAGGGAAATCGAAAAATGTAAACTCTCTAAGGCCTGGTTTACACCTGGCCGTTTTTGAGCAGTTGGAAAAGCGCTTTTAAATGCCCAACACAAGAAATTCCATGATTTTCAATGGCCCCTGTTCACACCTGAGCACAGAAACAACAGCAAGGAACCACAAATTTCCTGAAAAGGTAAATGAGCTTCTTTGGGCAGTTAAAAGCATGTTTAGACTTCAAGACTTCATGCCCCATAGACTTCAAAGAAAACACCAGAAACACGCAGCAGAAGCATGTTGCACATTATATTGCTTGTTTAAATGCGCGTTCGTCCATTGCCCTCAATGTTTCTCAAGCTGCCAGTCAAAACACGCATGAAAAATGTGCATAACGCGAATAAACGTGCAAATAACCACATGCTGATCACACGTGTACAATCGGTGCTGCCTAGGTGTGAACCCAGCCTTAGACTGTAATTCTGTACACAGATTTCTTGTTGTGTCCTAAGGGCAGGAAGTGAAAGGAAATCTCTCCAGCGGGACACAGGCAGCAAAGAATAATATGATGGGCAATTTACCTATTCCCTACTCTCTCTGAAGCTAAACATTAGTTTTGGCTTTACATATACTCTAAATCAGGGGTGGGCATTTCTGGCCCTCCAGCTGTTGTGTAACAACAAGTCCAATGAGGCATTGCAAGACTAACAGGTACAGGCATGGAGCAGGTCAGAAAGCTCTCAGCCGAGCGGAGAGAGCAGCCAGTCAGCTGCAGGCTCCATTTGGGTATTCTGAGAGAAGCCATTGGCCAGGGAATTCCTTAATTAATACTCGTAGGCGTTGATGGAGGAATCTGTTTAATATTTTTCAATCAGCACACAGGTTGAATGAAAAAATAGAATGGTGCATACCCAGCTTTAGGGTGACAACACTTCTCAAGTATCTTAATGATCTCATTATTTGGGGCTTATGGACATAAATCCTAATTTCTTTGAATCCTGCTGGAGCAAGGCCAGGCCGAGGGGTAGGCACAACAGGGGGCTGCTTGGGTGCTTCATCAGGAAGAGGTGCAAAAAGGGCCAGACCTGCAACCTATGTTGCTGAAGTAGTTCACAGCTCATCGGGGGGTGAACATTGTCCTCTTCGCCTTGGGTGTTAAAAGGACCGTGACCCGGGACTGTGTGGGGGGCATGATGATGTCATCACAACCCCTGAAACAACACTTGCGGATGTACCCATGAATCTGCTGCGCGAACACTAGGGAGAAATCAGCTAAAAATAGCCTTTTTGCAGAAAAAAAGTCCTGGAATCTATTGGCTTCAACAACACAATTCAGATATTTTCCACTGCGAGCCGATAACGTCCGAAAACTGTTTGTTTTGCGTTCTTTCAGATCGCATTCCGCCAGATTACATGCTTGTTATTACAAAACACGCAGAGGGTTCCAGAAAAATGTCAGCGTGCTCGCAGCCGTCGACGCTTGTGAAGAATGTTGGGATGGAAAATACAAAGGAACAGAAACATTCTGACAAGTGTGGATAATGATCTGATCACATCGCAAAGCCTGGCAGCGGGCCGGCCCGTGTTCGCATAGCCAGGGCGTAATTAGTTTATTGCAAAATCTGTCGTTGATTGAAGTGATGAATTGGGGATCTGAAGCTGAAGTGGGATTCTTTGAATTTGTTTATTTGAGAGTTTTTTTCATTTATTTACAGAAAGGAAAACAAAAATAAAACATTTTTTTTGTGTCGGGATCAGAATGTCTCTGTTCAGGGGTGGCCTGATGTACCCTGGAGAAGGGAAGGAACCTCTCGGGGGAGCATTAAACAATTTGTTTTCATTTTCTCACATATCGCTATGTCGCTGTTACATTTTTCCTGCTGTTCACCAATTTCTAAAGAGTTGGCCCTTATCATTATGATGCTGCTCCTTCATTGGCCAGTCAGCATGCTGGGGGCGTGTTCATGACCAAACTTTGCAGCTGGTGCGGGAGTGGAGGTCAAGGGTCTAGCTATGCTGCATGGCAGGGGTATCTGGATCATAAAACTGACCGCATGGACAAATTCTTTGGTAGGCAGAATTTAAATTTGTGAACAGCATCGACTAGCAGCTTCACAGTTCACAGGCGACTTGATGATTTTTATCTCGGCTTAAAAGAGAACTCCAGGAAAATGTTTTTTTTTAACCCTTGGAGTACGTGAGTAGCCCCAATGCAAGGGTTAATAAAAAGTTTTCCTGGAGTTCTCTTTTAAGCTGAGATAGAAATCATCAAGTCGCCTAAAAACTGTGAAGCTGCTAGTCAATGCTGTTTGTTTGTGTCAAGGGACAAAAATAACAAAGATACACTCAATCGAAGCTCCGAGCCGGCCAGCTGTCACAGCGCTCCCTCCAGCCTGTCTTCTCCTCCGCAGCACATTGGAATCTTCCTCAGGGTACTCACCTCTATACACAGTGTATAGATGTTTCATGATTTACAGGACCTTAAACAGCTGCAGAGGAGGGGGAGAGCCGCTGCAAGGACCGGTCTAAGAAGAAGCCAGCTCAGAGCTTTGGATGAGTATGACATTTTTTTTAAACCTAGACACAAACGAGAACTTAACCCTTGCAGTAAAGGGGTAGCCCCACTGCAAGAGATAATAAAATCCTGGAGTTGTTTCAATAAAGATGGCTTTTATGACAAAACTATATGATGTTCTTGTCGACAAGATTTCTAAATCTTCCTGTTGTAAAAACACTAAACACTAAAAAGCTACGTTATATATTTGACATGTTTCTGATTTATAACTGCTTTTTCAAACTTGTCTTTTTACAGTTCCAATAAGGACAATCCCAACAGTAACTTTGTTAGTCTAGAAATCCTTATAACCGCCATGGCCCAGGTAGAGATACGAGGGTAAGTCGGTTGCATTTGGTATTCTGCAAGTCTGTAATGCTAACCGTGCATGGCTAAACTTTTCTCCAACTTGTAGATTGAATGAGAGAAAATCAATATATTCCTCCATCAGCAAAAAATAGCGTGGATGAAGGAATCACCAGTCTTTGTGTCTGTATGTTTTCCAGAATTCCAGGTAGAAGCAAATCCTTGTGAAAGGGTCACTTCTAGGGATGCACTGATATGAGTATCGGTATCGGTGCAGATGCTGAGTATTTGGGCAAGTACTCGTACTCGCCCAAATGCTCCGATGCCTGGCCCAATACTTGGGCTTCCGGTATCAGGAAGCCAGGCAGCGAGTCTTTACATGTTGCCCAGCTTCCTGATTAGCTGGGAAGCTGGCTGCATGCTCCCTCGTCACTTGTGACAAGGGAGCATGGAGATGGCTTCCTTGGCCAATCAGGAGGCCAGTCAGCGTGTCATTACACGCCCCCCCGGCTTTCTGATTGGCCAGAAAGCTAGCTTTATGCTCCCTCGTTACCTAGTGACGCGTTGACCGGCTTCCTGATTGGCCAGCTGTTCGACCAATCAGGAAACCGGGCAAGGCATCATTACACGAGGCCCGGCTTCCTGATTGCCCAGAAAGCCAGCTCCATCCTTTCTCCTCACCAGGTGACGAGGAAGCATGGAGACGGCTTCCCGGCTTCATTACACTTCGCTTGGCTTCCTTAATGGGACTTTCGGTATCAGCGAGTACCGGAAAAAAAATATCGGTACTCATACTCAATACTGATCCCTAGTTTAAAGCATTTAAAACCTAAAATAGGGGCCTTCTAAAGTGGACCTAAGTAACATATGGGTGTCTTGCTGCACTTACTGGTATAGGATGATTCTTGAAATCCTGGTGGGTGCTCCTTTTGCAAACTTCTAAAGTGGACCTAGACACAAACAATACACATGAAGTCCTTTTACCAGTCTAGCTTGGATGAAGAAATAATAACTTAGCAAAGGACTGAAATACTTTTCCTGAAGAAATTGTTGCTCTAGCCTTCCTTCGGGGGATGCTTGCACAACCAGTGGCTATGGCATTTGTTCATATCATCTCTGCTGAAAGGGAGGGTCAGAATTCAAAATGGCTGGATGGATTGGCAGGGTCTGCAGTGATTTTACAGACGATAGACACAGAGCATGGACAACATGTGGCTGGAGACATACTGCAGGAGGCAGTCAGAGACTGGGAACACAGTACATAAGACTCCTAGAGAACTCTGCCATTAAAGGCCCCTTTACAAGCCAATGCTCACACTACTGATTGCTAGGGTCCGAAGGATGCACAGCAAGTACCAAAGAGCTACATGTGGCCCTCTGGCTGCTGGCTGGGCACCAGGGATTTAAAACCTGTCGAAAACTGTATTTTATTTACAGGCATCAAGCTAAAATTTACACACAGAAGCTGATGATCCGTCAGCAGTGGGTCCTGTCCTATTGGGCAGCTCCAAAGTTTCATAAGGGCAAACAAGCAGCCGCTGTCGTGCTGTCTCTTTAGATAGCCCATATTTCTCTGGAAATTCTTTGTCATTAATTAAATGTTTATTTGTAATAGTATACATAAAAGAAACGTAAAGCAAAGTTCAACAAATGTATAAACATAAAAAAATGATAGTTGTCCTTAAACACAGGTCCACTATAACTCTCATATGAGTCCAGTAATCCTTACACCACTTTTTCCTAAGCTCTGTTAAAGCCTTTTAGTCTGTTCCCAGCAGAATAAAAGCGAATTTTAGGGTATTCAATAAGACCTGATTCAAATATACGTCAAAAGAGCAGGATTCATCCAATTTTAAAATCAGGCATGGTTAAAAGACATGCCCTAAAAATTTAAATAAAAGAGCAAATCCCTTAAAACGCAGGCTAATAAGATTTACCTAACAGGATATAGGGCCCACGAATATAGGAGTCCGCATCCTGTTTGATAGCATAAGCAGGCTGCCGAAGGACTGCGTCTGCTTATTCTCCCCTCTCGGTAGACCGCCAGATCCTTGGACTTTGGTGACCTCCCAAAACGTGTAGCAGATCCAGACAGTATGCACTGACATCACTTACATTAAAATGAAACAGGTTCTCCATTCCCCGGAGGGGAATAAAATTGGAGACTTCTGTAGCTAGAAAGGGGAAGAGCGCTTGTGTTCTGAAATCACTTACAAAGAGTAGGAGAACTGGCTACATTTTATGTTGTTTTATTATTTTTAAACTTGTATTGCCCCTTTGTCTTAGCAATAAAAACAGGGACATTGATACATGTCATAGGTTAATGTAAAACACTGCTTGTGCTGCGTTAGGCTAGTGCTGTATGCTAGATGTAAAATGCACTGAACGCTGCTAGCTGAAACCTCTAGCTAAATAAAAAGCAGGGCATTTGTTTTAAAATTAGAAGCAATTAAAATCACTGCAACCTATTAACTAATTTACATACTTACACTGCAATAGGAGAGAAGCTTTTCTGAGTCTGCCTGACTTCCTGTCCTGGTGGCACATTGTGTATCAGAGTACATCAAGGTGTCCCTGAGACAGGAAGTGAGAGGTAATCTGTCCAACAGGAACGTAGATGGAAATAAAATTGACAAAAGGAGAAGACTTTGGTTATCCAACAAAGTTATCTAACCCCCACCTTGAACATTGTCAGACATTGTCCATCAGTGTCACATGATGACATAAGATCATTGCTAGATCTACCCAAAAATGACAGAAATCAGGAGATGCACCAGTTTTGTGGGAGGACATTTTAAATCACCTTTAGCATTCACAAACTGCCATTTTTATGTGAAGGAATATTCATTTTAGGGTTCCTTCATCCCATATATTTTTCTGAATAGCACCCCATTTTGTATTGTTACCCCAATGCACCGCAGCGTACCACAAAGCATTATGTGTTGCGGCGTGCTGAACTGCAAAAAAAATGCACTACATGTTTGTGTGTTGAGGTGTGTTAGAGCCCATTGAATTTTAAAGGACTGTCTAACGCAACACGTCTTAATGCGCAAAGCAAAGGCTTGGTGTTAATTAGCCCTTAGACCAGGGGTGGGGAACCTCCGGCCCTCCAGCTGTGGGGAACCTACAAATCCCATGATGCATCTGTCTCTGGGAGTCATGACTGTGGCTGTGAGAATCTTGCAATGGGATTTGTAGCTTCAACACAGCTGGAGGACCTGAGGTTCCCCACCGCTGCCTCAGACCTAAGCTGCAACTCCAGCTGACACTTTTTTCTTTTTAGTTTTGGATGAAGTGTGGAAAGATTTAAAGCCAAGTCAACATTTCATTGCTTTCTATGTCTGCATATGGGAGATTTGAGTGTCAGGCAGAATAGGAAATGAGGGAAGACTTTCCACTTCCTACCTATTAAATGAATTGAGAAGAAAATCTTCCAGGGGAAAAATGGGCACTATGCTAAATTGGGCATTTTCTAAAAAAGAGTGAGAACAATTTAGAACCTCTGTCCTGATTTTATAGCCGTCTGTCTCCCCCATGAGGGAGATTTCCCCTTACATCCTGCACAGTAAATGGGTGACAGACAGAACAGAACCAGATGAATAGAGATGTGTCCCCATGAGGACTACTTCTAAAATCTGGCAAAAAATCTTCTTAGAGAGAATTTAAAACTGAAATTCTCATTCCGTCCCTACTCCATCCAGAACTGAGGACAGTATTGGCTAAAGTTGGACTGTTAACAAATTTCATATAATTTGTAAGTTGAAGAGATCAAAGCTCACAATGGCCTCAGAATCTGAAATAACAAAGTGTCTATTGGCTTTCTAGAGGGGAGACTTGGATAGAGTCCAAACTCCTGATGGACCCTCTGTCGTTCTGGATCACCCCTTTTTGGTGGGTAATACTGCCATGTAACCCAAGCAACAGAAAGGGGAAACCATTTGTCAAAGGGGTCTATATAAATATATATAATTTACCTACATTAAATCAACCTCCATTTGCCGCTTCTGTCCAAGATTAAAAAATGAGGTAAGCTAAAACATTGGGTTTACTAGTTAGACAAATACAAACTTCGTTATATTGCTTTTTGTTACATTTTAAGCAGTAAACCACATTCATCAGTTTTGGAATCTCAGCCACTGTGTATATCCTCAGATATAGACATGTTCCAAGGGGGACAACCTTTCCAGACCTGTATAGCATCAAAATGAAGAGAAAAAAAAAAGCAATTTCCCAAAAGGACCCTGCAGGCACACAATACACTTCACATACAGTGTCCTCCAAGCGTCTCTATGGAAAAATCAATTTAGAATTGTGTGCAGCCAACCTTTACCTGCCTATAACACGATGACTTGTCATCATATGTTAGTAGAATAATTATATGCATTCCTTCATTCATAAATACTTCCTGTTGGCTCTGAAACCAAGACTGTTCTGGTCACATGGCTAGCGCAGTGGCCTCAGTGAGGAAGCATGGGCAGAGGAACTTAGTTATTATGGATAACAAGCTACAGTTGTGTAAACTGCCGGATAAAGGTTTTTTTTTTCTTCCTAAGATCACACGAACGGATGACAGATTTGGTAATAAAATCCTGCTCTCTCTCTGACCTCCTTACCCCCAAGCTTAGCCTCTATCTTGGTGTGCTTCTAAAGACGGCATTTACTTTGTATAGCTATAGACTTCAGTGTGGCATGCAGGAAAATGTATATTTGAGGAAATCCACTTTCAGGGCTTGTTCACATCATCTCCAGATCAGATCCAGACCAGTAAGTTTTTTGCCTGCTCCAATAACGCATTCCCATAGATTGCAATTATATTTCTGAGTGTAGTTCACACCATTGCGTTTAGTTATAGATACCGATACTTTGCTTTCAGTACTCGCTAATGCCGAGTACAGATACTGGTGCTTCCGCTGGCATGGAGCCAGCTTCCCTGGCAATCAGGAAGCCGGCTCCACGTTGTTTGGTCGATTGTGATTTGCTGGGAAACCGACTTCCCAGCCAATCAGGAGTTGGCTTCCCGGCCAATCAGGAACCGGGCGGCGAGTAATGACCGGCTTCCCGACTGGCCGGAAAGCCGGCTCGATGCTGATTGGACGGAAAGCCGACTTCCCAGCCAATCAGCAAGGAGCCCGTTGTTTGGCCGGCCTGATGCTGATTGGCCGGAAAGCCGACTTCCCAGCCAATCAGCAAGGAGCCGGCTGTTTGGCCGGCCTGATGCTGATTGGCCGGGCAGCCAATCAGCATGGAGCTAGCTCCCCGGCCAATCAGGAAGCTGGGAGTCGGGTCATTTCTCGCCACCTAGCTTTCTGAGCCAGCTCCATGTTTCCCTATGGCACTGCTGGTCAGAGGAAATCTTCCTCTGACCGGAAGTTCCGGTATCGGGGAAGGTATTGGAGCATTTGGCCATGAGCAATGAGTACTTGCCCAAATACTCGGTATCGGCACCGATACTAGTATCAGTATCGGTGTATCCCTAGTTATAGAGCTTTCAATAAGAGTCCAGCATGTCACATTTTTCTGGTCTGGAACACACTAAAACGCATGTAAATGCACGTGAGAACACTAGAATGCACTGGAACACACCTAAAAGCCAATTGAGAAGAAAAAACGCACTTGAACAGATCAAAAACACGCACATCCAGATCTGGTCTGGAGATGGTGTGGTCATCATAACGGAATAAAGTGCTTGTACTTTCTTTCTATCATGTGCCTTTATCAATTACAAGGTGATGTGGAAGTCATTGTCTCTTTAAATATTGAATGCTTGTTATATGATGGTTATATATGCCTGTCCCTCGCATTCTGGGTGTCAATGTAGGGGTGAACCAGATAGAGAAAAAAGATATCAGCATCATTAGACTGGGGAGTAGATGGACTTGTCTCCAACCTTTCTGAGGATGAGAAGGAGGGACACCTTTAATCATAAGGTTACACCAACCAAACTTTTGAGTCTTATAGCCTGTGTCTTATTTTACAGTGTGTCTAATCCTTCTCACATCATCCTGCCCATTGCCAACTGGGAATCCAAACAAAAGCCAACCGAGGAAAGTGAAATTGGGCCACTGGTACAGCACATCTATGAGGTATGGCTTACTTTGTCCTGCCCATTCTAGTCATATCCTGGTGAGGTGATCCATATACTGTACTGCCTGATAAATATGACAATGCAAAGAGCAATGACAAAATGATGTTACCCGTACTAATCAACCATAATTCAATGTATCATCTGACTACAGCAAACTGAATATTTTTGGTTGGTATGAATTGCTGCAAGTATATTTAGTCATTTAACTGCATTATTGTAAGGTCAGTCCACCCAAACCTGCTATTTCCGTGTTTGGTAGATGCTGGAGATTTATACTCCCTGATAGTTTCTTATATTTCTTGAGGACTGTATTGGTGTGACATTTGCCCCGAGTTCCTGGTTGTGCACACCTTCTGTGCCCATTATAAGGGGTTCTTACCCTTTGTGTTGGATTTGTATTTATTTTCAAAATCTTCCCGGCGCAAATGAATCGCAGCAAGCCTTCCTCCTTAATTAATTCCACCTGATCACACTGGGGCAGTTCCACAAGGCAGGGAACCTTAACATCTATAAAATGACAAAAAAGGAGAGCGCCCACTCCATGTGAAGGATCGTTTAATAATTTGCTTTAAAAAGTAGTAATGTACTCACAAAAGAAAAATGACACAAGCGTATCTAATGGTTCCCCTCACAGGAGGCTATTGCCCATCAGAAGCCACAGCGCAGCCTGGTCAGCTCACGACAGAGGCCGTCTTCCAGCACTGAGTGGCAGGCTTAACGTGTTTCTGGGGCCGGGCTGTAGCTACCATGGGGCGAGTGAGGCACTCGCCTCAGGCGCAGCTGAGAGGGTGCGCAGCAAGGGCCGGCCTGGATGCACCCCCTCGCCCCTGTTGCCATGGCGAGCACAGGGCGCCCTTGGCAACAAGGGCACCAGGCAGCCAACACAGCCGTGGCTTGGCAGGGAGAAGAAGAGCGGCACAGGGTCCAGCTTCTCCTCAAATCCCTGCTGCTCTCACCCACCTGTATGGGCAGAGGACTCTGTGTCTTCAATTTCTTTTTCTATTTCAAAAAGGAAAGGTCAGGGGTCTGTTTAGACCCCTAATATTTCCCCAAAGCCCCCCAACAGTAAAAAAAATAAAAGAATATTTAACACACACACACATTACTAGACATGTGCAAAGACTAAAAATTTGTTTGGGACGAAATGAACGGAAACTAAAAATGTTTTCATTAGTTTCATCAAACAAAGATTCGGCCACCAGCCCATTCTGCGCATGCGCGCCGCTATCCTGGAGGTGGGGCGCATGACGTCACATACTGCACACGTCTGTTGGGGGGCACAATTTTCTGTACTTGCCTCGGGCACAAAAGGAGCTTGCTACCGCTCTGTTCTGGGGCACATCTTTCACATGGAGTGGGCGCTCTCCTTTTTTGTCATTTTTATTTATTTATATTATGGAGAATGTATCATGAGCAGCTGGAACACTTATAACTTCAGGGCAGACTGAAGCAAAGTCTGGAATTATGGTGGGGAGGTCTTACTGTCTGAGTATAGAAGACATATACCAAGCCGGGGGCTGACCTCACAATAGGTCTGAGACCATTTATGTATATTTATGTATATGTATATTCTAACAATGTATATTGATTGTAGCTTTTTTTGCCAACAGCTTCACAATATAGGACCAAGTGCAGTCGGCGAGACACACCTTAGCGTGGGATGGCCTTCACAGAGCCGAGAAGAATTTCTACTTTATGTTTTTAAAATTGATACAGAAGGACCAATAACATGTCACCCAAGTAGTGCCATTAACTCCTTAGACATACAGGTAGGTTAAAACCTCTAAACTACATTATCTGCTGGTCAGATACAAGGAATTTCCCCTTGTTATATTGCTTTGCTTTTAATTTTAAAGTGACCTTGTCACTGTATGGGTTGGCAACAAACCTAAATCCGGTTGTAAAACACGCCACTGCTGAGTTAGAGTACACCTATCAGCAGGGGCCGTGAGCATTACAAATCGCAGAGCTATAGATCTGGCTCAGCAAGGGGCGTGTCAGACCTCTGCAGAGAGTCTACTGCTTACATGCAGAACGCAAGTGTCCCACTCTGCAACATGATGTCAGGGGACAGGCTTTTCTACTCAGGCTGTGGCTGCGTTCTAAAGAAAACGAACTGCAAGACTTTAGACACCTTTGGTTTGGATGCACCTGGAATATTTTTAGCTGATCTACACACAAAGTTCTATTGGCCTTTCCATGTAACTTTTACACTTGAAATATATGGTGTTCTGGTTGTAAGAATTGTATTTGTTGAAAAAATTGTGTTTTTTTATGTCCTTCAGTCTAACTTAAAACAAGAAAAGGGAATGTGACGACAAGGTTCCTGTAATTAAATTAAGTTGTTTTTTTCCTTGAAGAAAATATATTACCCATAGGCTGTTCATTTGTAAAGGATACCCTTTCCCTGATATATCACTTGAGAGTGTTCAGAGACTGTTGGTGAGAATGACTCCACAGCTCGCTCGCTTCCCTCTTGGCTCTCGGATTGGGCAGAGTTTGCTGCCAGCTTTGTATAATTTCGCTTCTGAGATGACAAACTTTTGCGTTGTCTGTAGCTTTTCCTTGGCTGCGGTTGGACCCCCCCCCCATGGTCCTATTTGTCTTTCTTTTCCAGTGATTTTAATGCAGTCATTCCCCCTGACCTTACCACCATTGGGATTTAAGGAGATTATGTCCTAGACTTTTCAGTGCTGTCCCCTTGCCCAGATGTTGTGCACATGTGAAATGCTTAATCCCATTGGAGGGGAATTCCGTTGTTTGTAGACTGTTACCTCATTGTATATTTTGTTTTGTCTTTTATTGTTACTATATTAATTGAACAGTTGCAGAGACGTTTGTTTCCCGGAACATGACACGAACTGTTCATTAGCTACGATATATCTTTTCTTGAAATAGAAACCCCTTAAAATCCAATTTAAAGTGTAAGCTATAGTTAGGATAAAGAAACACTAATATTTTGTTAACCACAAGTATATGGGTTTGGCTTTATGCACAAACAATGTTCAGACGACTGCTTTTTGTGTGTGTAAGCCTAAAGGGACCATGTAGTTGTTTTATACATATTTTCTTTATTTATTATTGTCAAGACTATAAAAAAATAAATTCTGATTTTGTTTTATAAGTTAGCAAATATTGCTTATTAGTATTTTGCAGTCTCCTATCGATTGAGTTGTAGTCTACATATAAAGTTATTTTAATTGTGTTGAAAGAAGCCTATTATTAGCTGTTTGTCATCATACCAGTGACTCATTCCATTATCGGATGGTTAGTAGGAGGTTTCAGTCAGCCAGTTTGTATTTAATATGAGTAGTACATGGCTCGTGGCTCATGTGAGACTCCGACCACAAGTGGAAGGCAAATTAAGTGGCCGCATTTGTGGGAGGAGTCGCACCGGCGTCTCGTTATTTAGGTGGGGAGGGCCGGAGGTGACTCGCACGCAGCTTCGTTTCTGGCTGTCCCTCCCCCTTCCCCTAGGTTACTTACTATTTAATAGAGTATGCCACTTTATTTGGCATTACTGACCTCAAGATCACGGCACACCTCAGGTTTGTATTTAATATGAGTGGTACACGGCTCAGGGTCATGTGAGACTTTGACCACAAATACATATATATATACTGCAGTATGTGGTCAATATGACAATTGTCTAAGAGGTGCTGAAATCTTTGATATCTGTGAACAAAGTCATATAGCTCCCATCTATGGTGCCCAGTGACCTTGGCATGCTCCCTCCTGTGATCTCTGCAGTGAGACTGCTAGGTACTACCTTTCTCGCCATTATACCATATACATGCTGCAAGGGGGTGAGATCCATCCCATCCCATACTTTGTGCACTGTTTTTTTGGGCCGCATGAATTTTTATTGAGTACCTAACGATTGTTTTTGGGATGTACATGTTGTACTTTCCTTCTAATTGCTGATGGTGACAATATTGCTTTCACTGTATGAAACCGAGCGTGATATTTATTGATTGTTAACCTCAGTGCTAGCCCATGAATACATTGATTGCTCTGTCAGACTCAGTTTTAGAGGACTTTGCATGATTTACACAGCATTTTAAGCTAATAATTATTCATTGGATATTTTACTGCTATACCTACATGATAATGTGCATGTTGTATTGGTCAAGTTCACAATTTAGTTCATTTTTGGGACCTTATGTCAGGGCTGGACAAGTCCCAGGAGATGGGTAGCCAATGCTTTTCTAACTGTTGTCAATGGAGCTGGCTGTTAAAAAAAGCCTGCTGGCTCCTGAATTGGACAGACTGGCTCCTGGATTCCATACGGATTTATCTACCCCTGCTTGTAACGTATATAGTTTGAGTGGGTACACAGTGGTTTAAACAGTTTGGATACATTGAGAGAAATGTATCCAAACTGGAGCAGACAGAATCTGAAGCAGTTATCCATGGCAAGCAATCAGCCTAACTAAGCAAACTAAATATAGAAGCTGATTGGTTGCCGTGGACAACTGCTCCAGATTCTTTCTGCTCCAGTTTTGATCATATTTCCCCCCATGGTATACAACAAGATTGTTTAAGTAATCTGACAATTTCTTTATGCCTAATGTGCATACCTAAATCATTATATATATATATATTGCTTTTATCTGGTTTTGATTTGTAAAACTGTAATTTTATCTGACAATTATAGTATTAAATACAGGCAGGTTGCCACCTTCAATCTGCAGTGCTATCTCCAAGCTGAAGGTTTGTTTTGTCAGTAAAGTCTCCAGCCTGCATGTGATTACTATGTCATAGCTAACATAGAGCCAACATAGTGATCACATGCTCAGAAACTATACTGATTGGTCCCTGAGACCAAAACTGTCAGTGACAGCTGGGTTTAAGGGAGGAGCTTTATTGGCATATCCTCAGCATATGACATTAGCATAGTGCTGAGGAGTGTTAAGGTAGGGATTGTGGAGGGGAAGCAGTTAAGGTTTAAAACTTGGATGGAAAAAGAGGGGATTTACGCTCATAGCAACCATAACCTCCTAGAGGGGATTGGATAAACCTCTACAAATTCTTTTCTTTCTATACAAATTGTCAATTGTCAGAGTCTGGGAAAGATCAGTTTCCTTTTTATAGAATTTTTGAAGTGATGTTTGCAGATAAATTCCATTTCTCTCCCTTGCAGCAAAATACAGTCCCGTCTACTTGTAGTACTAGAATTAACCTGATGTTGTCTGAAGTCGGCTTGATATGAACATGGCAATCACAGCATTGCTCGTAGTTTCCCAGGTGATTAATGACCAATTTCTTTCTTTTAGCCGAGTGAAGCAGAAGCAACTCCGGGATTAACGGCTTATTTGCGTAACTCAAGCGTATCTCAAGCAAGGAGTCGCAGAGACGTGGCTGTGGCTGAGCCCCTCAGGCACATCCCCATCCCAACTAAACTGCTGGTAAGAGCTGAACATTACATGTCAAAGGGTTCTAAAGGCACAATTCGACTCTGCCGGCGACATGATGTGCCTGATCACATTAAAGTGACTCTGTCATGTTAGGTCTTGAACATTGTCTAAGCCAGCATTTCTCAATCTTTTTTTAGTCACGGGACCCTTTAAAAGTTTGCAAAATCTTGAGGCACCCCAGTCTAAAATGTCATAAATTTTAAGGGGGGGGGGTACCACTCAAAAACATACAAAAAGTGGGTTTTCTCACAGTGGCCCCTTTAAATCAAGATTCCCCGCTCACAGTAGTTTTTCTCTTTTCATCAGAAGCCCCCTTCTTTACATCAGGAACCCCTTTCACATCAGAAACCCCCCTCCCCAATGAGATCCCCCCCCCTTTCACATCAGAGTTAGCTCAAGAGCCCCCTTCACATCAGTCTACATTCCTCCCTTCACATCCACAACCACAACATTTTGAGGCACCCCTGAGGAAACCATAAGCCACCCCAGGGTTCCATGGCTCCCTGGTTGAGAAAGGCTGGTCTAACCTACCTTGAGAAGCCTGCAGGTAGGTTTTGTCCTTCAGATCGGTTTCCATCTCCCTGTAGAGTCTTTAGAATTCCTAATCCGGGCTGTACTCAGGTCCTTTACTTCCACACAAGGTGGCACTTTCTAGGCAACTGTCAAAATATATCAGTGTGTATCGCATACTTGAGTTACCAATCTCTACTGCTTGATAGATCATTGCCAAAAGTACCTTCCTTCAAATATTCTCATTGGTCTCCCTGTGCACCTTTCCTCCTTAAAACTTACAGAAAAATAAGCACAAAACAACTATATCGCCAGGCTGAGAGGAACCTGCAGACTCACTTGCACAGATGTGTTATTCTGCAGATTTTTTAATTGAACAGTTTGAAACCATTGTTAGAATCTCTGAGCTTCCAAACACTAAGCCGCCGGCGCCTTCTTATCTTTGGTCCTTCTCTTGCTGCTGGCCAGAAGGAAGAACCGGTGCATAAACCAAAGCATCACATTTCACAGCTTTCAGCTATTCATCCAAGATTATTTTCCATAGACTATGCACACTGTGTAGAAGTCAGGTGAGGTTGCAATCAAATGTTTTCCAGTTTGGATTCACGCAAAGTTCCTTCATTTGAGAGTGCACTGGGGTTCACACACAAACTACAAAATAGCTCTTTGAATGTAAGAGAAGTCTGCAGATTCCTTGGCAGTTCTTTAACTTCATTGCTGTCACGTAGAAATGCAGAAGATAATAAATGAAAAGGTTATTATTATTATTATTATTATACAGGATTTATATAGCGCTTTACAATATAAGGAAGACATTACAGTTACAATAAAGTTCAAAACAAGATGGTTAGGAGGGCCCTGCCCATAAGAGCTTACAATGATAAATAAAAGGGAGAGCAAGTGATACAATTGGTGGTAACTGTGTGGGAATGAGTTGTTTAAGAAAGTGATAGTTCAGTGGTTAGGTTAAGGTGGGATAGGCTTCCCTGAAGAGATGAGTTTTCAGGGATCACCTAATAGCAGACAGAGTAGGAGATTGCCAGACTGGTTGGGGTAGCGAGTTGCAATGATTGGGAGATACTCTAGAGAAGTCCTGGAGGCAAGAGTGGGAGGAGCTGATGAGGGAGCTAGAGAGTAGAATGTCTTGAGCGAAGCAGAGGGGCTGATTAGGGTCATACTTTGAGGCGAGGTTGGAAATATAGCTGGGGGCAGAGTTGTGGATTGCGCTGTAAGAGGTTGAGAAAAATCTTTCCAATAACTGATATAAGTATTCTCCACATAGAGAATAGTTGAAGAAAACATAGAAAACATAAACATTTCTCATAGATGTCCTTTAAACACCACCACCTTCTAATTATATGTTGTCCAGCCCCTTCATTCAGCAGTCCAAGACCAGATAGTTTAATGGCTTCTAGTGATGAGCCTGGACCCCGGTTTGCCAAAGCATGAATGGCATGGGGGTGTGGGGGGCGGGGGTTGGAGTAGCTTAGCTCCAGAAAGAGAAGGGCTTAATGTCCGTTTAGGCAGATGTCCTGTTTAGCTTGGGCCTCGATTCCAATGGCCTCCAGAGGGACATAGGAGTTAATGTGTAGAATAACAGAGGTGCTTTGAGGCTGAACATCTGCAATATTGTTAGCTTAGGCAGTGTTTACAGGTCCACCCCAAAGAAGCACTACATGTAACTGTATAAAACTCCCAGCTGTTTGTTTACTTCTATGTTCCATTAAAAGTATTAAATCAAGAAACCTCAACAGGTCCCCCACTATCCCCCAGTAGAAATGAAGCCTCTCCAAGCCAATTTTAAATCATCACATCCTCCTCTTGAGTAAGGTAACAAACATTCCCTACCTGCACATCACAAGCTGTTTATCAATTAAAGGCCACCATCACTGAAACACGGGTTAAAGGGTCAGTCCACCTAAAAGTGAAAATAAAGATTCAAATTTAATTATAGGTAGACAGTGGTGGGCTAAGTCTTAAATGTCACGCATACTCTGCCAATAAAATCTCCCTTTAAAAATTCCCAACTCCCATCCATCTTGGAGTTTTGAAAGTTCCCCCCCAAACTTTGCTTCTTCCAGCTCTTCCTGATACCTTATACATAATATAAAATAAATGAAATGTCCCACCATAAGGCTGGCCGTACTGTACACTGTTAGAATTCTGTGAATCAGCAAAAAGTTTTAGTGTGTGATCCTATCAGCTCAAGAAAAGCCAATTACTGAATTAAAGTGACACTAAACTCAGGAGTTAAATCTTAAAAATACATTGAAGTACCTTAACTGTTTTAACAGAAATGTATCTTATTTGTGTATCACTCGGCTGTAGATCCTCAAATCATCTCTGAATTGGTGCTGACACTGTCCTTCCTTCTGGAGGGGGGATACTTTTGTTCCCCATGGTCCCTGTGTGTGTTGTAAAGTAGTCACCGCTCCAAGCTCACTCCTGTGATGGACTACAATCTCAATACAAATTACTAAACTAAACCTGAGATGATAGACCATCACGGGAATGAGCTTGGAGCGGTGGCTACTTTACAACACACAGCTATGTAAATCTCAGCACTGGATGGACAGAAGTGAAAACCTATAGCCAGAGAAAACAGCTACCATATATGTATTTAATCTGTATTTGCCTTAGCTCTTCAATGTCTATCAATACTTAAATATCAGTTCTGGGTGGGCTACTTCCTTAAGACTTGAGGATTTTCAGCTAGCTGTCTCTATAAAAGACTGTAGTTTCTGACTATGATCACCAAAGCCATAACAGTTCCCTCCAAGGTGTAGAAAGAACACCCTGCTTTGTGTTACTGGTTGTGGTCAGCGTTGAGCCTCAGCGCTTACTGAACAGGTCACCCCACCAGCCACTGTCTCTCCTTCGGTTACTACATGAACTGCATGAAAAAAGCTGCTGAACATTGCTCATAATTGGAGCACCGTGACCATCTGTACACATCCTTCCACACAACATTCCTGCATTACAGTCTAGCGCCTAAAATGGTAAATGACAATGTTATCTGCAACAGATTTATGAAATAAAAAATCACGCCAGAAAAGAATCACCAAATCTACTATACAAGTATGAAAACATGCCTCCAGACGGGAGAAGAAGCCAGAGACCTGGCAAAAACAATCCAATGTGCTTCTAATTACCGGACAGAAAAAAAAAAATGTGTATCGCAAACTAAGAAGACCTTCACTGATCAGATAGTTCCCAGTCCTGTGCAAGCTCAAACTCTTCCAACTGGATAAAGACTAATGGCATGTTCAACCAATCGTTCTCAGGGACTTTACACATAAACTTGGCCCACAACTAATATCATTTCTCTTTACATAAATATTAACCTAATGTACTAATTCTTTTTTTTTTATTTAACACATTTTTATTAATTTTTTTTTTAACAGACGTGCAGTAATGTGAAATGTTTAACCATCTCCTGTAACGTTTGGCGTCTAAATAGCAGTGAGAGTGCCGTTATAAAGATCAAATCAAGGCTCTGGGCAGAAACATTTTTACAGGTAAGTTAAAGAAAATCTCTGGCTAAAAGAATGATTTTTCATACATGACATGACATTTCAACAAAGTTCTAACCAAAAGAAAAGTAAACAGTGCTGGAAGCGTCACATTGTCACTGTTTCCCGTCAACGCACAGCAGTGCCTTGCGTGAACCAGCCATAAAACATGCCCTTTTTAATGTAGAAGTCATCCGGTGGCTGTATAGCTGATCGATCATGTCTACATGCTGCCTAAATTGTTCGGCAATAGTGGGCCCTCCTCCTTTCCAATCCAGAAGCTCATCTTGTGCCTTACTGAGCCCGAACTAGTGATGGAGGGTCCAGGATGGCCAAGGGGTTATAGAATGGTGTCCATTCAATTGGCTAGCTGGGTATTAGCCAATTATACAATCAGATCGGGGCTCTCTGCCCCCAACCTGTGTGTACTAGTTGCGGGTGAGACATCAGAAGTCTAATAGAGCCATAACTGTCTCATAAAGAACACCTGTCTCTACTATCAGCCCCCCTTGTGATAGTAAAAAGGAAACGTTCAAATGTTTTAGCAACCAACCTGCTTTGCCCTTATATGATTGCTGGAGGCAATAGTTCAACAATTGCTCTGTTTTTCATAAATGCATTATACTGTGACCTCGGCATTAACAGATAACCCATTAAATGTCCAGCTCCGACTTTTCTTCTCGACGGTAGCCAAGTTATTTTTGGAGCGGATTTAACTACGATGACATAATGATTGCTTGCGTTGTCTGGTGTCCAAGACTAGCTGCTGCTGGACAGATATCAAAGTGAAAACTATTAATCAGATGATTCATCTTTGGATTAGATGAGAAACCAGATCTTAACTGTACATATCTGCTCTTACAGAAACACTTGTCCATCTGCCAGATACTTTTACAGAACACCTTTGCACTCAATTATAGAAGCAGCTTGTGCACCCCCCTCCCAGCTTAAAAACAAATTTTGACTAATTCAGCGAGGCAAAACCGAGAGGGATGATTATGTGCAAAGTGCAGTAAATGAGAACAACCAATCACCAGTCATCTCTTACATGAGCTCACATTATGTTGCTTTCAATCCAAGAGAACCAGAACTACAACTTTGTAATACATCTGTTATTAAAACACTGGAACAAAAAGGGAGGCACTCAAGAATTGTTTAGGCACTGAAGGGTGCAGAGTACAGTTTGTTTGTTTTTCTTTTTACTTCAAGCAACAAGTAAATAAATCTATTATAATATACACTGCCGGGCCAAAAAAGTCACCACCTGGATTTCGGGCAGTTTTATGATCTGGGTTGCAACAGTTGGTCAGGTTAGGTTCAACAACGTTATGTTGTCCCCCAAAAACGAGGTCAGTTGCCTACCTAAATATGCCGAGTGACCCTGATGACACATTGGGCATATTCCAAGATGACAATGCCAGGGCTCATATTGTGAAAGAGTGGTTCAGGGAGCATGAGACACCATTGTCACACATGAATTGGCCACCACAGAGTCCAGACCTGAACCCTATTGAGAATCTTTGGGATGTGCTGGAGAAGACTTTAATCTCCCATCATCACTACAAGATCTTGGTAAAAAAAAATGAATGCAGCTCTGGATGGAAATAAATGTTGTGACATTGCAAAAGCTTATCGAAACAATGTCATAGACATGCGTGCTGTAATCAAAGCTAAAGGTGGTTTAACTAAATATTAGGGTGTGACTTTTTTCTTCTCGGCCAGGCAATGTATAAGGTGCAAGACATACCAGGTACTCATTGTTATTGCTATACTTGTTAGTTATACATGCTGAGCTTCCTGCTTGGAGAAGCACAGCAGTTATGCTTCACAGGCCCTTGAGAAAGAAATCCACATAGTTTCCATTGTTCACATGAGCAAAACCATTTTGATTTTTGAACAATCAGTAAATGTAGGAGTAACCCCCTCCCCCTCCACCACCGTCTCAGGCCCCCCCCCCCCCCCCCATTGAGTATTGTGTTTGTATGTTCTAATGAAATCACCTACTTGTTAAGTTTTCATTTATTCACTTTTATGTGTAACTTTGTGATTGGCTATTTGTGTTGACACCCACACCCATCTCTTTGTCATTCTGCTCTCTCGTCCTATGAGCATACTCCTTGCACTGCAGCCCATCTTATCAGCACCTTGTGCTGATTCTTCCTGTCCGCTCTGAACTCTGCTGTGCAAGGGGATGATAATAAGACAAATGCTGGTACTGACATTGCTAACAATTAAAATATACAGTTAATGCTGTATTCATATTTATAGTGCCGCATTAATTTGTGTCTTTTATATCTTCCTGTAGTTCAGATTTCTCTTTGCTCTAGTAGAGCAGTGAAGAGTATAAACACGACCATAGAGGAAAAATGCATTTTGTGATAAAAAGAGCAGCTAACGTCTCTCTGGACTGCTATATATAGAACGAAACTGTAGAAACCAAAACCGTCTGTGCGTTTGATACAGAGTCTGCAAGGAATTATTTCAGGAAGAAATGCCATAAATTATTCGGTTCTGTCAGGGCCCCGTAGTATTTTCCTTTAATTGGAAGTAAATGTTATGTGCAGCGTCTTAGGAGCCTCTAGATTTCAGAACTATTCCCCTAAGTGCAGAGAAGAAAAAAATGCCGACCCGCATTTTCTCTCAACATCTGGCTCAGGTCCACTTATCTCTCACAGTTCCAAAAGCTCCATCATCTAGGGGACCTGGGCTTCTTTTTATTGCTCGGCCTAAAGTCTTAGGACTTGAGGGAATTCTAGAAGTGCTGTAGAACACAGCCTCCTCTGGTCTGGTATTGTCATTCAGCATTCTGGCTGTGGAAGCCATCAGAGTAGAGTAGACTCACAACATTTCCAACAGAGATGCGTCTTCAGATGGTTCTTCCTTGAAATAAAATAACAATCTGTGTTGACACAAGAGGAGGAACCTCTGTAGGAGCAACACAGCACCACAAGACGGGACCACGTGTGGAGAGATGACAAGCTGTCCCTTAGTGAAACTAAGTAGGGGGTCTGCTATGTGGGATTTTGGCAATACCAGAGCAAAGGAACACACAATATTACATAATCTGTGAGAAGAGATGTAGTCATCTGTGAAACGGAAAGTAATTTGAAGGATTGGCCCTTCTGTTGTCTTGTATGGGCTGTAGAAGGGACAAATCTAACAGTAAATGAAAAATAGTTTTTTTTTATAGGCTTTTTTTCCCTTAAATGTAATTGGGTATTCTTTGCAAAGTAACCTTTCCCCACATTCACTAAGCTAGAGGAACATTTCCTTGCAAAGTGAAGATTTCCTAGCAAAGGGAACAGGCCTACAGTCCTAGAGATCTATTCCTTATAGTGACAACTGTGGGCCATGCCTGGACAATGTGTGGCACGCCCGTTTATAGTCTCCAGCAGGGGGCGCACAAGAGAAGGCAGCGCAAGGCCACAATTGGGAAACAGGTGTCACCCCATAACAGGAAGTGTCTGAGCAAGGACCTTTGTGACAGGATCACCGGGCATTTTTAATAAAAGTTGCAGATTTTAAAAGATTAAAATTAACTTTTAAAATAACATTAAAGTGACACTAAACTTAGGAGTTAAATCTTAGAAATACATTCAAGTACCTTAACTATTAACAAATATGTATCTTATTTGTGTATCACTCGGCTGTAGATCCTCAAACCATCTCTGAATTGATGCTGACACTGTCCTTCCTTCTGGAGGGGGGATACTTTTGTTCCCCATGGTCCCTGTGTGTGTTGTAAAGTAGTCACTGCTCCAAGCTCACGCCTGTGATGAACTACAATCTCAATACAAATGAGTAAACTAAATGTGAGATTGTAGTCCATCACGGGAGTGAGCTTGGAGTGGTGGCTACTTTACAGCACACACATGGACCATGGGGAACAAAAGTAGCCCCCCTCCAGAAGGAAGGACAGTGTCAGCACCAATTCAGAGATGATTTGAGGATCTACAGCCAAGTGATACACAAATAAGATACATTTTTGTTAATAATTAAGGTACTTGAATGTATTTTTAAGATTTAACTCCGGAGTTTAGTGTTACTTTAAAATATAAATTTTGACAAACTTCTGAGATATTCGTGTGTGGGTTTAGATCTACTTTAAGCTAGACACTGCAGTAAAAGCTTGAATGATACACCTACTAAAAATACACCATAACTTCACTTTAATACTGAGTTATAACTTTAGTAATTGATTATATTTCCATTGCAGAGGAAGAATGATCATTACTCTCTGATGGCAAATGTATCATTTGAAGTCAAGAATATGCCATACAACATTCAACCGGCAAAGCTCCCTGCAGCCAGCATAGCGGTAAGTACCAGACACAAAAAAACAATTGGCGCAGCGCTTTACAATATAAGGAAGACATTACAATCGCAATGCAATTCAAGAAAAGATGGCAAGGAGGGCCCTGCCCGTGAGGGCTTACAATCTAAAATGAGTAACATACATAAGGTAGCAATTACCATTGTAATTATTTATTTTGTAAGTGATATATGTGTTTAAAGGGTAAGCCACCCAAGGCCAATCTGGTATCAGCTGGAGACTGGTGAACTGAGTACAAAATGTGGTCACTCTGGAGGTTTTTGCTTCACTGTTTATGAATTGAGTTTATTATCTCTTTTCTTGGCATCCAAAATCCCAATTATGGCAGTAGTAATGCTACTTTGCCTCAAAAAGGTGATGTTGCATCGTAGTTTTTTTGTTCTTTATGTTAAAGGGTTTTTAAACTCTCTGGTTTTTTTTTTTGCATATATCTACTGCTAGCAATATATGCAAAAAACGCTTTAAAGGTGGTTTAAACTTACCTGTGTGTTCCCCGCGCGCTCCCGTCCAAAAATGTGAAAATTCTCGGGCGGCCGCAAAGCATCTTGGCGCAGTTCACATTTTCGGCCCGGGAGACGCGGAGAGACACAAAGTAAGTATATGGAGGGCATGCACCCGCATGCAGACACCGTGGGACAGGAAGTGACAGCAAGGACAGAGGAGTCAGCGCTGGAGGGACAGATGAAAATGACAGGAAAGAAGAAGAAGATCGGATTAAGAAACATCATTTAAGGTAAGTGCTGACATTAACATTGGGGGGAGGGAAAAATATCTTTGACTTTAATGTCACTTTAAATACAGTTTCTCATCTAAACAAACAGCACCATTCACCAGCTGTGGGCAGCTTGGGGTCCTCCATGCTTGCAGCCAGATCCTATGTTAGCATCTTCCTCCATGGCTTGGTTACATTGTTACTGCCCATGAATCCACTTCATGTGCTGATGAAAATTAGGTGCCACAGAACGAGTTAGCGCCAACACGGGCTGTGATGTCACAAAGAATTACGTTTTAGTTTAAGTGCCGCAACAGTGCCTAAGAAGAAGGATCCCATTGATCTATGCTTAGGCTTCAAAATCCACTTTTTGCCTGGCTACTGCCTGCCCTCTGTCTGTTCTATATCTGGTTACAGAATACAATCTTGCCAGTAGTCGGCCTAGTTCCTTGTTTGTCAGCTGTTGCTCTGGGACAGACCCCAGAGGTGTCACACAGTGCTGCTAAAGTGGGGTCTCCTTTGTTGCTGGATGGATTCCCACATCTGAAGACAGAGTAGACACACTGGAGGTCATGGTACCAAGATCATATTGGCAGGGTTTCATAGCCTTGGGATGACCTAGGTGGAACCAATAGCATAGCACCCAACTGTCCCTCATTTTGGGAGACTTTTTCACTTCTGGAACCAAACCTAGCTCCCCTTTTATTTCTTAGTTATCTTTTTTGTCCATGTATAGACCTCAATAAAAAAACAATTTAACCAAGAGTGTATATTACATGAAACCTTTTATCTACCCTTAAAGGAGAACTATGGGGTCAGGGCTTTTCCCCATAGTTTTCTTTAGGGTAACGGGAGGACACAAACTAGCGTCCTCCCGTTACCCTAAGCTCAGTATACTGAGACGCCGCAGCCGGAGCGGATCCCAACATCGATGTCGAGATCCGCCCAGCTGCGTGAGTGACAGCTGGCTCTGCCTATCTAGAGGCAGAGCCAGCTGTACCCGCCCCCTCCCCCGTCCGTTCCGCCAGTCAGCGCTGGAGGATCGGAGGGGGGAATCCAGCCCCTCCCCTGTCACGGCAGAGAGCCGTGACAGGATCGAGAGGTGAGCGAACGCTGGTATATGTTCGCTCACCTCCCGATCTACTGAGCCGACCTGTGACAGTCTCATTGTCACAAGTCGGCTAGAACTATGAGGTGAGTGAAAAGCACTTACCTCATAGTTCTCCTTTAAATTACCACATTTTACATTTTTAAAATAAAGTACAAAGTAAAGTAGTGCTAAAAAAATCACGTGTGGGTTTAACCAATCATTGTTTATATATTAATTCTGCCTGGTCTGCGTAATGGGGGTGTAACAGGGGTGTGTCCTTTACCAGCATACTTTGTGTCCTTCCTACTCATCTCGGAAAGCTGGCATTTAATAACTATACCATCAGAAGAAGACAGTTGAATCCCGCCTCAGCACTCCACTTTACTTTCTGCAAGTGTTCCTCGCTACATGTGTTTGAAAATGAATCAAATGTGTTTGTTAAGCTGGCGCATGTTTACCCGGGACATTCACTCAGACTGCAAAACCACTGTGTATTTCATGTTTTATACCACCATTGTATTTCTGCTCGTAAACTGCACCACTTCAAGCTCCATTAGAAGCTTTCCTGCTGGACGAGCGAGCAAGAGACTTGTAATCACAGCAATAATGATTTAGGATGAAGTTGTTGGAAATAATTGTTAGAAAAACAGAAAGACGGAGCTCTTGGCAATTAATATTCAAGACATCTGTTTACAGTATTTAACATAGTGAAGCGGTTCTTGGACCTTTGGAGTAGAAGTTTACGATGGAATGGAAAAAATAGGACTCGTTCCTGGGATATATGACGTTTGGCATGTGCAGTATTTAAACACTAAGACAAATATTTTCAGAATCTTGTTTATAATAGCGAGCGCTTTTGCAGCCTCAAGCTGTTTACCGCTGAATATTCTTGCCTCTGTTCAGGGCGCACAATGAGAACTTTTATGGGCAAAGGCTGAGTTTATTTAAGCGTCTGGGTATATAATTGAATAGGCTCATCAGTCAGAATCTTATTTGTGCTTCCATAGAATTACCCCTGCAGCTTTCAAATATAATACAAGTAAAATATTATTATTACAGGTATTTATATATTGCCTACAAATTATGCAGCACTGTACATACTGTACATTCACATCAGCCCTGCCCTCCAAGGAGCTTACAATCTAAGTTCCCTACCATATCAGCACTGGTCTGTGTGCATGTGTATTTGCACACACCCCAGGGCTGATTTAGACAGGAGCCAAATAACCTACCAGTAAGTCTTTGGAGTGTGGGAGAAAACCTATACAAGCCCATGGAGAACATGCAAGCTCCTAGCAGATAGTGTCCTGGCCAAGATTCAAAGCAGGAATCCCCAGTGCTACAAAGCGGAAGTGCTGACCACTAGGCCACTGTGCTGCTTGTTGTCGCCTGGAGATCTGCGTTGGGATCTGTAGATCCACCCGTAATTTTATATTGGCTGGTTTTTACTGTTTTTATGTATTTATTTATTGTTTGGTTTTTCTCTTTCACCATACAAAAGTACTATCCTCTATGTACAGGAAATGATTAGAGTATAACTGGGAGTCATTGCCCCATAAAATGTCTAAACATGGCCTCAAACCCTACCTCTCACAGTGCTGCACGACTTCTCTCTACCTCCCAAGTACTACAACATGACAATTATCAATTCCTCCCTGTGTCTCTTTAATGTGGTTCTTGATTATTGACCATGTTAACTCTAGTATGCATCTGCACGATTGTAGTTTAGCTGGGAAAAGAACTGATGTAATTGATTCTATGCACTCTGTTAATAAAGCACCTCTATATAAAACGTTTCAAATAAATAAAAAAGAAGCATATAAGACGGTGAAGTGGCAGACATTTTGTATGCAAGACCTCCAAATCTTAAGAGGGGCTATTAGGGAGTTTATTCAGAGAGAAGAAGGGAAAGCCATTGGGAAGTTGAGGAATTCAGCTGGGCAGTAGGACCAGTTTTAGGCCCACCTTCATTGGTCACTACTTAGGTTACTTGAAGGGGCAGACCTGTGTTGACTCATGTAACCTTGCTTAGTGGGGGCAGCAGCATACCCATATCAAAACAGGTCTTCAGGCCACAGGGCACCCTTCCTTTTGTAAGGTGCATTCCTTGTTATAGGGGCTTTTTTTTATATATAGACACTAATACAGGTAATGATACAACAGACCAGATGGTTTTCCCTGTATGAGCAGGAAGGTTTATAGCTCACAATTTATGACCAGTCCATTGTCAGGGGAAGTCAAGACTTCCTTCCATGGAGCAAGAACTCAGACCTGCTAGCGTCCAGGGAAAGGTGAACGATTTTCCTCTCTCTGCTTCTTTCTGCCTTTCAGAAGATGCACCCATTGTTATAGGGGCTTGTTTTCTATATAGACTATATGATCACTAATCCAGATAATGATATAACAGAGCAGATGGTTTGCCCTGTGTAAGCAGGAAGGTTTTGTCATTCACAATTTATGACCAGCCCATTGTCAGAGGAAGTCAAGACTTCCTTCCATGGCGAAAGTCAAGGCTTCCTTCCATGGAGGAAGGGCCCAGAGCTGCCCGCGTCCAGGGAAAGGTGAACTATTTTCCGCTCTCTTTTTTTCTAATTTCTCTTTTAACTTTCCCTTTTTATGGCACACTTGATGTTTTCTTGCAGCCCTCTTAGAGAGACCGAGAAGTTCACGCCGTAGTGCTTGGACGATCTACCTGCCACCTGGCCACACACATGACATTACCATATGGTGAATAAACTGTCAGCTGCTTCAGCTGGAGAACAGAGCCTGTTTTATCATGATTACATTAATAAGAGGAAGAAGCCTGTCCCTATCATTTTCTCAAAGCATCTGAACTGCCAACATGACATAACTGCAAAGGATCAAAGAAATATGGCCTGTGCGTGTGGTCACTCTACTCCGCGTTCTCAACAATTTACAGTGGAGTGGATTGGATACAGATGAGTTGATTCAATTAGCATATCATCTGTTTCATTGCTTGTAAGCTCTTATGTCACTTATCATTAAGGGATAACTGATCTAGTAGGCAAAGGGGCATTTGCCCCCTGAGCCAGTCTTAAAAGGATATGCTAGGCAGGTGGCCCTAGTGGAAATCATTCACCATTCAGACATCAATTAGAGAATTACTTGCCTGTCAGAGGGAAATATCTAGAACCAACTTGATTTGGGGCTCTGAGGTGTCATGTGACTGAATACCAAGGCCGCAAAGGAAGCTAATGTTGGAAGATTATTATTATTATTATAGAGGATTTATATAGCACCAACAGTTTGCGCAGCGCTTTACAATATAAGGAAGACATGACAATTACAATACAATTCAAGACAAAATGGTAAGGAGGGCCCTGCCCCTGAGGGCTTACAATCTAAAAGGGAGGGGCAAGTGATACATGAGGAGGTAGCTGTGTGGGGATGAACTGTTTGAGAAGGTGATGGTTGAGTGGTTAGGTTGAGATGAGATAGGCTTCCCTGAAGAGATGAGTCTTTAGGGATCACCTAAAGGCAGTCAGAGTGGGAGATCGACGGACAGGTTGGGGTAAAGAGTTCCAGAGGATGGTAGAGACTCTAGTGAAGTACTGGAGGCGAGCATGGGAGGAGTAGACGAGGGAGCTGGAAAGCAGGAGGTCTTTGGAAGAGCGGAGGGGACAGTTAGGGTGATATTTTGAGACAAGGTTTGAGATATAGGTGGGAGCAGAGTTATGGATGGCTTTGTAAGGGGGTGTTAATATTTTGAATGTTATCCTTTGTGTGAGTGGAAGCCAGTGCAAGGATTGGCAGAGGGGGGTTGCAGACACTGAGAGGTTGGTTAGGTTGATGAGTCTAGCAGCTGCATTCATGATAGACTGAAGGGGGGATAGCCTGTGTAGAGGCCTATGTTATAAAGGTCTGTCACAACTAACTATGTCCTTTAGGAATACCAATCTTTGTACATGCCCAACCAATATATGCCCCATCATGTCACACTTTGCTAAGTACACTTTCTTAAGCCCATATAAATCTGTCCCTACCATGAAAGGGGTAATTAGTTGTGTTTACCTGCCCGGTTAGAGATTCCCAATTCTCCCCTGCTTATCATGATGTAGTTATTACTTATGTTTAATATTATCAACTTATTTACATTGGAACATAATCCTATCTTTTTATTTTGGCCAGATTTCCTCTTTAATTGTATGATTTACACTTAGGCACAGTAAAGGAAGCTATTTTTGAAAGTGACCTAAATAGATGAACTGTTTGAGAAGGTGATGGTTGAGTGGTTAGGTTGAGATGAGATAGGCTTCCCTGAAGAGATGAGTCTTTAGGGATCACCTAAAGGCAGTCAGAGTGGGAGATCGACGGACAGGTTGGGGTAAAGAGTTCCAGAGGATGGTAGAGACTCTAGTGAAGTACTGGAGGCGAGCATGGGAGGAGTAGACGAGGGAGCTGGAAAGCAGGAGGTCTTTGGAAGAGCGGAGGGGACAGTTAGGGTGATATTTTGAGACAAGGTTTGAGATATAGGTGGGAGCAGAGTTATGGATGGCTTTGTAAGGGGGTGTTAATATTTTGAATGTTATCCTTTGTGTGAGTGGAAGCCAGTGCAAGGATTGGCAGAGGGGGGTTGCAGACACTGAGAGGTTGGTTAGGTTGATGAGTCTAGCAGCTGCATTCATGATAGACTGAAGGGGGGATAGCCTGTGTAGAGGCCTATGTTATAAAGGTCTGTCACAACTAACTATGTCCTTTAGGAATACCAATCTTTGTACATGCCCAACCAATATATGCCCCATCATGTCACACTTTGCTAAGTACACTTTCTTAAGCCCATATAAATCTGTCCCTACCATGAAAGGGGTAATTAGTTGTGTTTACCTGCCCGGTTAGAGATTCCCAATTCTCCCCTGCTTATCATGATGTAGTTATTACTTATGTTTAATATTATCAACTTATTTACATTGGAACATAATCCTATCTTTTTATTTTGGCCAGATTTCCTCTTTAATTGTATGATTTACACTTAGGCACAGTAAAGGAAGCTATTTTTGAAAGTGACCTAAATGTTAAACAACATTTCACCCATGTGTCTACAGCAGTCTCTTGTACTGGGAGTCCCATCAGAAGACCCAGCACCCTCATATGTGAGGCAGTTTGTATTTTCAGATTATCATGTTTGTCATGATAGTATGAACTTTGAGGGCTGCCTTTACTGAACACCCTAAAATGAGGTGGTAGCATCCTGTCTCATGACAGGTTACCTTTAAAAGCAGCTCTGTGGTTGAAAAACAGCAGCCTCACAAACCCGGCCCACTATGGCCAAAATCTGGGCTGTTCAAATGGGCAAATCTCAGGCACTTCACCGTAGCATTGAAGATTGACAGTCTTTTCCTGCCTGGTACACATTCCCTTTGCCAGTGAGGATTCCCATTATAATGATTGGCCAATAGGAATATGGGGAGGTGGGGATTGGGATGGAACAGTAAGCTTTAGCCCCACCTGGAAATGTCAAAGCTTTACCCATTAGTATGGCAATGGATCTGGCCACTACAGAAGGGTCATAGTGGCTGCTACAGGTATGTTTAGGTACCTGTAGGTGCCTACACTTTATACCAAGCAGCACATCTTTTTTTTTTTTTGGTGACCAAGTCACTTAAAAGTAAACTTCTCACCAACCTAAGCAGTTCAGATCGAACATATAATAAAATGCATAAGGAGAGTCCATCTTCAGTGAAACCCACATGTCAAACTGACCAGAAAACCCAGATACGTGGCCATCAAAAGTTCTATACAAATCTCGGCCTTTTCTGCAAAAGTGGAGCATGTTCCCCCTCCTTAGTTCCTCTCAAGCCTGCCTGTTGGTCAGTGACGTCACCAGTCACATTAAAGGACCATTAGGGAAGCTTATTGGTGGGAATAGCAAGCATCACATTAACAAGAGCAGTGGTGCTTTGCATACACCTTTAGTTGCCGGTGTCTCTGCTGGTTGTATTGATATGCAGTTTTTACTAATAGTAACTGCTTCTTAGGTATTTTTGCAATACATGCACAGTTTGAATGTCTCAGGGTTGTGCCAAGTTTATTTATACTTCCCAGCTCCAATTAACTTTAGTGTATAAGTCTATCACAATGTTATTCAACACATGGTAACAAAAAATGATCTAGAATTCACTGAGCTACAGTTCATCACATGTGATATTTGCCATGGCAATCCTTATTTTCAGCTTGTTGATGAAAATAACAATTGTTCTTGTCAAATAACGATAGTTTATAGCTTAGTGAATTGAGCATTAGTGCCTTCAGTGTAAGCTCTTGTACTATCCGCCATAATGTGTGTTTAAAAACAATAAGCCATCCACATCTTGTAGTGCCACTAAGCGAAGGCAAGCAAACATCATGTTATATGTATAGGGAAAGACTCAGAGCTCTGACAGCTGAACTCATTGTGGTAATGTAAATGTATTTTCTCATTGAAGTGCGTTAAAATGTATGTTTAACCTTTCAGCCATCAGATATTAAAGATTTATGATTTCCTAGAGAGCTGTGCATCAGCTTAAGGATTCTTGTTCTCTAAGCACTCGGGAAGTTTATATCCATTCATCAAGATGCAAAAGTACGTTTGCGTGTGTGGGGTTTTTGAGGGTCTTCCAAAATCTTGTATAAATTACAGGTCTTTGCAGAAAAAGTACTTTAGGAATCATGTTTGTAAAGGTTTTTGCAAACTCCCCCAATGTTCCTGTTTAAGTTAAGTGGAGGAAAGTGGAAACAGACTGTCCTTGAGATAGGGAAGATATATGAACAATTACGTTTTTCTCTTTTTTTTTCTGTTTTGATTTAGATTAAGACATCAGTGATTTGGGCCACTCCGAATGTCTCATTCGCCATACCTCTGTGGGTCATCATACTTGCCATATTGCTTGGATTACTGGTTCTAGCCATACTTACGCTCGTCATGTGGCAGGTAAGACTGTTGATGTATAACTGTGATATACCATTGTAGGCTCTGATCAATTTTGCAGCAAAGAGCATTATGTATTCACATATTCTTTCTGAAAGCTGGAGTTACTTCTCCACAATCACAAATCAGCATCATAACTGCTCTAATGGGTAGCTATTGAGAAAACATTCCAGTTCTTTGCAAGAACACATAACGAGTACCACCGCACACCCACCTCCAGCTTTCTCAAACAGCTTTACTGATCTAGCTGGTCAGGGCATGATCATGCCTGGACCCTCCCACTCTGATGCATTTCACCCAACACCAGGATATTACATTGTAATTAAAAGGTCTTGTTTGACAGTCTAATCTAGCACCAAATCTAGTTAGTATACCATGGAGTCACAAGGGGGTTGAGGCCCGCACCCGGGTGCCACCATTGGAGGGGTGACACCAAAATGACTAACAGTCATTTTGGTGTCTCCCCCTATGAAAAGTCGGGCACTCGGTCATGGACCGAGAGCACTTCAGTGTCAGGAGAGAGGAGGGGACCCGGCGGCATACCTCATCTCGCCGGTTGAATGTCTCCAACTCTCTCTGCCGGCGTCCATCACCAAGATGGCCGCCGGCAGGCATCAATAAGACGACCGCACATGCCGGATTACGTAATCGCGCATGTGTGCGGCAACGTCACGTGCATGCGCAATGACATCACGGCGGGGGTGTCACCCGGTCTCCGCTCCGGTGACACCCAGCCTCGGGATGCCCCTGCATGGAGTTGATTTATAAGCTGCTCACATAGTAAACACCTATGCAAATGGGATTCGCAGTACATTAAGGCCACTAGAGCAAAGGAGCGTCATGACCTGACACCCATCACCTGGGCAGGATGTGCAAGAGAATCTTTTCAACTGGACACACAAAAAACAATCAAAACCTGACAGACATTGTACCCCTTCCCAACTCTACTAACAATTGTTCTTGCTATGTCTCCACTGGTATGATTTCCCCCTGCTTCCTGTGACACATAAAATAGACAGGAAGCAGAGGGAGACTTCTCCAACAGGCACATAGGCAGCAATAACATCGCAACAGGCGTTCTACCCCTTTGCTATTGTATCTAGAGCTAAAAAAAACAGTTTGGGCTGGAGTTAGCCGTTAAAGAAAATCCCCCGGGAGAAAATGTATTAACCCTTGCAGTGTGCTGCTCCCACACTGCAAGGGTTAACTGCTCGTTTTCATCTAGGGACTAAAAGTTATACTCACCTGATCCTTCGAGCAGGCTTGTTAGAACAGTCCTTTCAACATCTCTCCCCCTCCGCTGTAGTTGTCTAAGGTCCCTGAGTCATCATGTTCTCTACAGAGTGTAAAGGGCGTAAGGCTTAGCATAGGAGGAGAGAGGCTGGAGGGAGTGCTGTGACAGTCGGCCAGCTCCAAAGTTTGGGTGAGTATAACTTTTTTTAAGCCCTAGACAAATATGAGCACTTACTCCCCTGTAGGTCATCAATGTACAAGGATTTTAACAATCTTTATTGCAGATTCCGACGTGTTTCTGTTCTAAAGAATAATGTTGTTTATTGCAGCATGTCCTTTCCAAACTGATTCCTGAACAGGAGGGTCTGGGTTCATTATAATCATCTGGTGGACTTTCTGTGATGAGGAAAGTTGTAGTGTCTGCATCCCTTTCGAAGTAATTAACCCTTAGGTTCATCATTGTCACCAAAAATGGAATTCCTTTTGCAAGGGATGCACAAAATATGACTTGTTTCTTAGTGCAGACTTCTGGAGAAATCAGTCAATTACAGAAGCAGCAAATGACATTTCTGGGGGCGTTCTGTACACCAACTGTGTGACTCCAGGTCATCATATTTCATTGACCTTTTTGACAGTTTTTGAAAATTACAGCAGCCGCAGTTTGAAACTAAAAGGTCTTTTTTAATATCATTAAATTACAATTGCAAGTATCTATATTGTATTCTTTTTTCCAAGTTCATATTTTTTTAAAAGTAAAGTTTGCCTTTAAATTGGCTGTTTTTTTCACAACTTTACTGTTGAGTTTCAGCATCATTTATGTTTTTGTTTCCCCATATTAGGGGGGTTGGTGTCATAAGATGGCTGTTTTTCCACAACACAGTAACTTTACCACTGATTGAGTTTCCTTCATGTCTCTGTTGGCCAAAATAAATTTTAAATTCTTCAGCCGCTACAAGCGTAGAGCAGCAACCGTGCCTCATTGCACTTTGTAATAAAATACGTTGTTTTGACTTTAAATAATAACGCTATACAAGCGCAGAGGGATTAAGGAAAACATATTTCCCGAGGAATGTTCCTTTCATATAATGAATTTGCAAGATTATAGGAACATAACATCGCAGACAAATATACTGCCAAAACTCAGGAGTAAAAGCCTGCTACATCCATCAGGTATGCAGAGAAAACAAAAGTTTCCCCCTGTTAATTTTAACCATTAGATTAGGTACACGCAGAGAATTAATTTGCCTCTCTATACTATTCTTTTATAATGTTTTATTATTAATTTATCTCATTTTAACTATTTGTCTTCTAGGGCCAGTTAGTTTGTTTCATTTTCTGATCATCATCTGTTTTGAATTCTTTTTCTTTAGATTAAATTTAACCAGCTAAGCTCTGGGGGTGATTAGGTGATGCACCGATACCGTTTTTTCGGTATAGGCATACGAGTACGGATATTTATATTTCGGTACTCACCGATACCGAATACTGATACCAGTACTTCCGGTAGCATGGAGCTTGCTTACCAAGCAATCACCAAGCCGGACAGCGTGTTATTACCCGCTGTCCGGCTTCCTGATTGGCTGGGAAACTGGCTCCATGCTGTTTGGCTGGCTTGATGCTGATTGGCCAGGAAGCCGGCTTCCCAGCCAATCAGCATGGAGCTGGTTCTTGGCCAATGAGCAAGCCAGGCCCAAGCCATTGCCCACGGCCCGGCTTCTTGATTGGCCGGGAAGCCAGCTCCATGTTCCCTCGCAGCCTTGCCGGTCAGAGGAAATCTCCATCTGACCAGAAGTTCGGTTATCGGAGCATTTGGGCGAGTACGAGTACTTGCCCAAATACTCGGTATCGGCACCGATACCAATACTAGTATCAGTATCGGTGCATCCCTAATTATTAGGAGCACACTTTTTTTTATTTGTCAGGTTGCTTTTACTGACATACTATGCATATTGAAGTTTACTTCTTTGACCTGCAGATGAATAGAACAAAGCAAATACAAAAGTAACAATAATGTTACTTTGTATTTCTGAATCCGGCATCTGAACAGTGTTTATTATGGACACTGTGTCAGTAGGTCTGTTTTTTGTAATACTGTAATACCTGCTGTATTTACGCAACAATTCCTGGCTGTCAGTTTGACAGCCAGGAATTGCTGGCAGATGTGGAGGACAGCCAGCAGTGAAGGACAGGGTACTACACACTCCTTTTGTACTTTGATTACATTCTTTTGGACATTTGTAGCCAAATGTTCATAACTGGTTAAAAAAGTAATGTCCCTTTCTGACAAATAGTTCAGTAGATGATATTTAAGGTATATTTTAAAGCCAACACTTTTTTTTCTAATTTTTTAAGTGGTTTTATAGTGGTTAAAACCCCTGTCAGGTTTTTTTTATGTCCAGTTGGGAAGGTTTCCCTCCATTTTCTGTCCTGAAGACACAACACGAAGTAAGAGGAAATCTCTTGAAAGTGAAGGAAATCCCCGTTCAGACAGTTATCATAACAGGTGCCCCTATTGGAACACTTCCACTTGTTATAATTGTTTCCTAATAGATCCAAAACCCCACACAAAATAGGCATTAGATACATTTTAAATTGTTTTTGTTTTGAATAAAGTAGAAAAGGGTTAACAACCCTCTTAGCTGTTTATCAATGTTTGTGTCCACGATTGGACGATTCATCCTCCATTTGTCCTAGTGACCATTGCCACCAGGACTAAATGTGCAGGAAAATCCAAAATTTTGAGTTACCTTTAGAACAGGAATAGAGGGGAAATCTTTCAATGGTGATAGTTTAATGGAAGGATTCTACTCACATTGGAAAGATTTCCTCTCACCAGTGAAGGAAAAATGTGTCAGATTGAACAAGACATTCTTTGCCCATTCGCATTCTCCAGCTTTTTCTAGTTGTTTTCACGTTATTCCCAATGAGCAAAGAGATATAACTCCAGCAGTGGACTGTGGGTCTTTCTTAGGCCTCCTCTCAGATATACATGTTACAGCTTCCAGAGGAGCTTCCAGAGAAGCCTCCCAAGAAGCATTCTTGCAAGATGTCTAAGTCACATTAGCTGGTAACTTTATCTTCAAGGAAGTAGCATCCCTACTCTTGGTCTCAGGGATTGTGATCTCTTCACACTATCATGGAACTTTGGTAGTTTAAACCAATTATTTAATTTATTCAGACATTACTAGCTCATGACCAGAGGTGAGAAAAGAATGTTGCAAGCCTTGTCCAAAAACTCTGGAAACATTTCCAACCCATGGCCATTGAACCCATCAATTTAACAAGCATCCATAGCAGTTTCCCAAAGTTTCCCCATGCAGGTGGAAGGAACACACAAATCTTTATTTAGATGTCCTAATCTTCAACCACGTCATGCTCAGCAAACATCTACATCTACATTTATAAATGTTTCAGCATTTCTTAAGGGCAGGCTCACACCATTTTCCAGACCAGATCTGTTCCAAATCTGGTCCGGAAAATGGTGTGAACCTGCCTGCAGTTCCAGTGCATGCCAGACAAGACAAAATAGAACCTGCAGTATTTTTCTGGTCTGGTCTGGAATGGACTGCACTGGTCGGAACAGAGGCCAGAAATAACATAGGGATACATTGGGATGCATTTTGGGTCCGGAAACAATCTGGTCTGGTCTGTAGGAGATCTGGATGTGGTGTGAATGGGCCCTTAATCTGATCCTTTTTCTTTCCAGTGCGGATTTTTCGACCGGGCCAGACCACCGCAAGAAGACTTAATGGATGACACAGAGAAGTTAACAAACAAGGCTTCTGAAGCATGAACTGACACATTCTTTCAGACTGCAATATGGAAAGTTATTTTTCTACCAAAAAGATGCCTTCTTGAATGTACAGCGTCATTCAGATGCTGAGTTGGTTCCGAGTGGTGCTGAACCAACCCAATGAAAAGATCTCAGAAAAGGTTTCACGTGGATGTTACCAGGTTCTAAGCAGTTGTGCTGGAACACAAAAGATGAAAACTTTACAGTCTTGCAGTGAAACTGAGGTCTCATGAACAAGTAACTGAAGGCAGTGCCTATATTACTGTGGGATTGTACAGGACTACAACCAAACCTAAAACCACTACTGTTCTGTGGACAATACAGGATTGACTCTGTGTGGGAACAGAACACAATTGCATCACTGAGAAGGATGCAAAACATTGAGTGACTGCATATATAAAAGTGTCTTAAAGACTGTGGGCAATACTTTATCAGGCAAAGCACAAATCCCCATTTCCTCTGCCATACCTTTTAGAAATGAAGTATAGATGTTTTGGTATTTTATACTGTTGTGTGAATGTTCTAAAGGTCAGATCTTATTATAGAATATGTGCAATGAATAATGAACGACTTAATGTGTGCTTGTTGCTGATTTGCAGTGAAAGGGGCCATTTTAGGAGATATGCTTACATTGTATCTAAACTCACTAGGCTTGAGGGTACAAAGCAGCTCATACTCCAGATCAAATATTGGGTTTTGCTCACTTGGGTTTTGCTCATTCTGTGTATTGTATGTTTGTTGACTGTATGGCTGGTGGCTTCCAATCAAGGCTGTTACTTTGGATACATTGTCAACAATACCATCCCATGTTGTGTGTATTGTCTTAGTTATTGGGCTGGTGGAACAGAAGAACCTAGAAGTCCCTCTTGATGAAGTGTCAGATGCCTCTAAAGTATCAAATACTGCCTCATTGCTATTAACAGGGCCAGCAAGCAAGCGCACATCAAATTTAAAGAAGCGCTAGGTGCTACCATGCACTGCTTGATGTTCAACACATATTTGTTGGTACGTTATTAGTACACCATAAAAAAAACTATTTAGGGGCCTCACAGGCTTCCTTTGCCAAACAGGAAGTGCAAACCAATGAGACAACAGGCACCAGTGAAATTCCACCAAAAGACTGGCATCTGATGTCACAATGATGCCATATCTGCCCTACAGTGCATCCTATATGTCCAATGCTGGTTGCAAATCAACATGTCCTAGCTGCCGATAAGCAGAAGAACAAATAGTTATATAATAATAAAAAGGTCTTTTGTTAAATACATCTGGGCTTAGGTTTATACGCAAGCATCGATAGGATTAGATGGCCTTCAATATCTAACTTGCACTGGAGTAAACAATGATGTGTGTTGGCTCCCGAAACACGTTAGCTGTCCTGTTACGAATTATTAAAGCTAATTGGACTCTTCCACCGTTTGGTTTGGTGCTCTTTTTGTGGTTTCACCCTTTAAGTTTTTATTGTTGTCCATGATCCTATTGTAAGATTTTGTGTAACTTCCTATAGTAAAGACAATCATCAGCCAAAAAAAAACACAGAATGGGGCTTTTAAGGTGTCAAAATTAGGGGTGTGGTGTCCCGTTCTTCTGGTGCTTCATAATATATTGTATATAACTTAAAAGAGAATTATGGGGTGACCTTTTTTCCCCATAGTTCTCTTTAGGGTCACGGGAGGACATATACTAACCTCCTCCTGACACAAAGCTCAGTATTTAGCAAGCTATTGCCCGCGATATACTGAGAGCGCTGTAGTCAGGATGGATCCTGACAATACTGTTGAGATCCACCCAGCTGCGTGAGTGACAGCTGGCTCTGCCTATATAGAGGCAGAGCCAGCTGTGCCCGCCCCCTCCCCTGTTCATTCCTCCATTCAGCACTGGAGGATCGGAAAAGGGAGGGGGAATCCCCGTGGGGAGCGGTGACCAATCAATAGAGCTGACCTGTGACAGTTTCATTGTCACAGGTCGGCTCTAACTATGAGGATGAGTGTAAATCACTCACCTCATACTTCTCCTTTAAAGACAATCATCAGGACAGGAAGTTAAAGGACATTTTCCCAACAGGGGAACATACAACAATAAAAACCCAACAGAGGTTGGCATGGTTTTGCAGAAGCTGACAAGTTCATTTGGCCCAATGTAGACTTCAGTTCCATTTTGTTTCTGTGCAATATATAATAAAACCAAGGGGGGCATGTTTACACTGGTATCATTGCATTGTTTCTATATGTATGATGTAATATTGTCAAGTATGGGGGGGGGGGG